TCCAAAGTCCAGTCCAGTGTTTACAATATGCCGGTATTTTGTACTTTCCGCGTTCGCCCACGAACGCGGCATTCTGATTGGCTGTTTGCTGTTAGATTCTATAATTAGATAAGTGATTCATCACAAAGGCTCTCGATAAGCTTAAAATTCGAAAATTGATCACTTTTTTCGATTATAAATGGAACAAGAACAGACTGTTTATTGTTTACTTGAAGGAAGAGATGTTTTTGCCGTTATGCCAATGGGATTGCTTGTCGTGAGGTGTTGGAATAGCAACATTATACGACTGGGGTAAACTATAGTAACCTTTACTTGAGTTTCATTAATTTCAAACAGACTTGATACGTTATATGTTCCTCAAGAAAATTATCTTTTGGTTGATGTTGAGATGCAGTTGCATTTAAGCCTATTCGAAACACTTTGCGATTTACAAAGCTTCGCTGAGAAAGCGAAACAGAAGACGGTATTAAATTGCCGTTTGAAACGAAATGATCTGGACTCTGAACGCTCTCTTCTTTTGTAGAGTTCTTTATCAAATGAAATAACTGAAATAAATTTCGTACTTTCCGCCGCCAACAAGAATTGCACACATGATCTGATAAGTGAGACAATTTATTTATAACAATGGCAACAGCGAAGCACACATTATAAATGCTAATGTGGTCGTACGACTTCCCTCACGATTTGAAGTTTGAGACTGGTTTTCTGTTGAAATTCGCCCTAATTTGCCTGTTCCGATTTTAGTTGAAAATGAGCACTTGCAAATTTGGCAATTACTGACTGCGTTGCTTGCTTTTTTGGAGTTAAAACGCAGCCATGTACACATTGTTTATGTTCTGAATAAGCAGAGAAAACCCCGCACATTTTAATGCGAGTTTGTTTGTTAATATTTGGGTGCTGTCATTGGTTCTTTTTTGACAATTGACGCGCGAATGGGGCGTGTTATGAAAAGGGGCGTTTTACAAAATACCGAGCCTTGCTTGCAGGCCCACTATCAGTTCCCTTGGGCCTGCACGCGGGCTAGTTTAAATTTGAAAGTATTAGTTTTAATTACATTCCTAATAAATCCGTATTTTATATAAAGTTGAATATGTGGTCAATAGATTATAGTAAACAATCCTAGCTTCTTTGGCTTTGGACTTTGCTATTAATAAAAGAGATGTCTAAAGTAATAAAATAATGCACACTAAAGCGAGTATTAAAATATAAGTTAGTATAAACATGAAATCAACAACATTAAATAGGGAACTTTAGAACTGATTCGCTAGGGCTACGAATTAAATCTGGTACGACTACGAGATTTTTTCGGTTAAATATCTGCTGCTACAGACTTTCTATCGCCCTTTCTTTTGCATACCCTTTCTTTATGGCCTCTTTATAGCAACAGTTACGCCAAACCATGTACTATATATAATACAGTAGACACCGCCTATGATAGAAACATGACAGTCGATACTAAAGTGACGAAAAACTGTATATTTCTACTTCCAAAGCAAAATATTTTGCACTGGCACTTCAGGTAAAGCGAAAAGTACAAGGTGTGTATGATTTCGCACAAATAAACCGTAAACAAACATCAAACTATTAAACTAACTCACGGGAAGCTCTTAATCATAATACTATTTATATTAAATGTTGCCAATGTTTGTCTGAGTCTTCGCGGGGGGTCGAATTTTCGTGACGTCAATTGCGGACAACGCTATTGATACTGATTTCAAATGATTAAAGCCATGTAATAATTATCCCATGCAACTGTTAGGAAGGGCGAAATTTTGAACGGAGGACGAAAATCCTAAAGAAAAGGTGAAGTTTCTAAAGGGGGGCGAATTTCCTAAAGGGGGGCGAAATTCCTAGGATTTTCGCCCCCCGGGGTGGGCGATATTCCTAGGAATTTCGCCCCCCGGGGGGCGAAAATGTAGGGGGGGCGAAAATCCTGGGACACCGGACAAATTAAGAATAAGTGGAGCCCGCCAAGGTCTCGTATGCCTTCCCGAATTCATGCGGCGAGTGGACCGATTTTACACACCAATGCAAGTCATGCAAAGTCATTCGCGCGCGCTTCTCTCACTTCCCAGTGCGCATTTTCTTCCGCTTTCCTCAGATTCCAAGTGCGCCCTTGAGCTTGAAATATTGCGCAATAGCTTTTCAGAAGCGCGGTTGATTTCGAAAGTGCGCGTTTCCGTTCGGAACATTTCCAAAATTTGCGCGTCCATACGCGCGCATTTCGTCCGACCAGACGCGCATTTCGTCCGAAATTGCGCACCCGAGATCTCGGCTGCGCAATACAAACTTTCCAGTCAGTCTGGAATTGCAAGCCACTAGTAATGATCTGTTTGGACGAACTTGGGCCCACTGCCGAGTGCGTAGTTTGTCCTGACAAATGATCAGGAAAATATCAGGCATGATTTACTGATCCAGAAGCATAATTCAGTTAAGAATTCTTGTTGTAAAAATTGCAGCCCAGCATGCAGTTACAGGCGACGTCACGATCGTGTGATCATGTCACGTTGAGAAAGTCAATTTTTGTCCTAAATTTAAAACGAAACAACAAGGTATCACCTTACGAAGAAGTCGGAAAATCGCGCAGAAACACTCGTAGACAAGTCAACAATGTATTTTTGCAAACCGCTGCTTATAGCATATATTCTCTCGATTAGTTTGAGCGCATTTATGTTGTGTTCAGGTAAGAGCGCAGAAGAATGGAAATCTAGAATAATCTATCCGCTTTTACCCGTCTGATAAGGTACCCAGTACAAAATGTACAGATATGCGTGGCTGGTGTGGTGGCACCTTCAAAGGTAGGTAGACACATTTCATAATACTAGAATCATCCGTCTTAGTGCTGTAAATACAAGATGAAATATCCAAATGAATCGTGATGTCCAGAAACATACCATCCATACCATATTGGCATCGGGTTGCTCAAAAAACCCATCACTGCATGCACTGTTTGTTTTGTATGTATATCTATTGTTGGATAGCTCTCGATCCGTAAGCTTGGATCTTCATCAGACATCACTGGTATTAAATGAAAAGAATTTACATCGCCTTCTCACACAACTGCACTGTTAGCGCTCTGCTTTAGTGAAACCAAGTGACCAATTCTAAAATTGGTTACTACTTGGCAGGCAGAGGGTAATTATCTAAAGGGAAACGTTTAAACTCCTCCATCCCTCCCTTATCAAAATAAGTTAATTTACATATTTTTTCTCCCCAAAGCTGCCAGATTGTGGTTTGCAGTTCAATAAACACTGCTAGTTCTCAGGCCATCTCGGTCAATATCATTGACTATATGACTATCATTGGATATATTCCGAGTGGCTGTATCGATGGTGAACACAGATCCTAAATGAAATTGCACAATGCGTGGTTTTTCCTCAGCATCGAAATCGTTTTTCTTTTCAAAGGTATTCAAAACCATCTTGATTACATCACAGACCTGGGTATGAACGCTATTTGGATCTCTCCTGTGGTACTCAACACCGACAAGGGCTTTCATGGTTACTGGGCTAAAAACCTTTACGAAATAGAGCCACATTTTGGAACAAAAGAAGAACTAAACGCCTTAGTAAAGGCCTGCCACGAACGCGGCGTTTGGGTGATGGTTGATGTCGTTGCAAATCACATGGGGTATCCCCCTGGAGCTGATTGGTCTACTCCATGGGACTCGAAATTATTTGATAACTTTTACCAATACATGTATCCCTTTAATAAGTCTGAATATTACCATCCTAATCACCCCTACATAAAGTGGCCAGAAGAATGCCATGATTATAAGAAAATCCAACAGTATTGGTTGGCAAATCTCGCAGATTTGAATCAAAGCCATCAATTCGTAAGAGAAACGCTTTTTCATTGGATTAAATACCTCATAACGGAATACAATTTCGACGGGTGCAGAATAGACACTGTTATACAAGTGCCCAAACTGTTTTGGAGCGAGTTTCAAAAAGCTGGCGACGTATTCATGCTAGGTGAAGCGAACAATGGTCCTCCCCCTTGCGGAAGTTTAAATTTTACCGCAAGTTTTCAAGGTCCTTTGAATTCTGTGCTTGATTTCCCCCTCTTCTGGACAATGCGATATATTTTCCAGGAAAAAAAGAAAGATTTTACTGCGTTGAGTAAATATTTGAAAAAATCAAGGAAACGTTATTTGGATAGGTAGGTTGGTAATGTTATAGGCAGGCAATGATCCGATTGTAATCGCACTGTAAAAATTGGCCGGTCTAGCTGCCGGTCTGCGCGGGGAACATGCAGAATTTCTCAACTAAATTTATGTCCGCGCATTTCCATACAAATCGTAAAAATCCACATATTTTTGATGAATCATGAATGCGTTTATTTAGTCTCATGTGTGTTGAAAGGCAACTGTATCCACAAGAACACAGTACTTTGCATACTATAATCTATAAGACTATATCATGCATGCATACTATAATCTAAGTACTATACTACTTGTATTCATTTTCAAATGTTCTGCCTTCATTTGAGCGCAACTGCATGGGGGAAATTCTCCCCGTGCAATAATATAAATTCACATTCTGGCGCGGGCGATAGGTCCGCTATAGGAAAATCATCCTGAGTCACAAAAATCATCCTCGTATAAATATTCTTTTTTTCTCATTCTTGAGGTCTGTCACTGGATGTTTCATCGACAACCATGACCACTACAGATTTCTTTTTAAAAACCCAAGTTATGTCTACGTGTTTATGTCTCAATGTATTCCCATACTTTACTATGGAACAGAACAAGGATTTAACGGCGGAGACGACCCGAACAATCGAGAATCGCTGTGGCCATATTTGAACCAAACTCACGAACTGTACACCTTTATCAAACGTCTCCTCCAAATTCGTAGAAGTCTTACCAGCAAGTGGTTAAAAACAGCTCAAATTGAAAGAGATGTCAGCTCTAAAATGTATTCGCTCTCTCGGGGTGGAATTGTCATGGTTATAACAACAGAATCCAAAACCATCTCGACAGAGATAAAGTCGCATCCTTACAAATCTGGTCAAGTGTTGCAAAACTTGCTTAATACTATGCAGGCATTCAGTGTTTCAGCAACAGGAGAATTGAAAGTTGTGCTAAAGGACGGTGAACCACTTATTTTGGCGACCAACAGTGCTGGTGGTACAGAGTTGTGGCTTGGTTTTTCGTATTTTAGCATAATTATTGTTTCTTTAATATGTCAATTATGAGCTAGCTTTAACTGAGTTTCCTGTGTCTTGTACATTCCTTAGTTTTGCTTGTATGACTATATTAACAGGACATTCAAAAAAAATTTGTCAGCTAGTGGTAGAGAGAGGGGTGGCATCCAGGAATAGGGACAGGTGGTTTAGTGGTTAACTGGAAAAGCATGATGTTATCAGTCTATCCCCAGAATGTCTTATTAAAAGTTCACTGTTTTTATTAAAATGTAGAATATAGAGTTGCAGAGAATTGTAAAATAAAGATAAAAACATTCACTTGCTGTCCTTTCTGATAAAATGTTTTTGGCGATTGTTTGCACTTTTGGTAATTTTTGACGCAATATTTGGCAAAGCGACTGAATAACAAGATGGCCGATATTTCAAAGCTTCAAAAAGCAGCTTGTAAAGCGATCGACGATTCCGCATCAGAGCTGAATAATTTAGCTCAAGAAATATGGAACCATCCAGAGCAAAATTTTCAGGAAAAATTTGCGCATCATCTTTTAACAAAGTTTTTAAAAGATAAAGGTTTTGCAGTCACGTCTGACATTGGTGATCTCAAAACTGCATTCCGAGCTGTGTACAATGGCGGTACAAAGGGGCCTACTGTTGGAATAGTGTGCGAATATGATGCTTTGCCAGAGATAAATCATGCATGTGGTCATAATCTGATTGCAGAAGCTGGAATTGCTGCTGCTTTGGGTGGGTAATTTGTATATATTGTAAATTACACGCCAGGGTGCATTCCGTGTAAATCTCACGCCGAAGATAATCTGAGGTAGTGTTACCGTGCGCCAAGCATTGAACTATAAATAAACTGGAAGGCTAACTGCTATGATGAAGGCCTATGATCTTATGAAGCCAAAATAGTTTTTCTGAGTTATGAGCAGAAATACTTGACCCCAAACGACGGGCTATATATCAAATTGAAGCTATTGAAAATTGCTATTCGGTGTGGAAATTTCAAGACTTCAGCGAAAAGAAAAATATTTAAAAAATACAAAAACAACTGCAAAACGGCAAATTATCGGTAATTATGTTTGTAGTTTTTCAATATTTCCCTTTTAGCTAAAGTCTTGAAATTTCTACACCAAATAGCGTTTTTCAATAGCTTCAATTTGATATATAGCCCAACGTTCAGTGTTGAGTATAATTTTCTGCTCATAACTCAGAAAAACTAAAATGCACTGGCTTCAATTTCCCCCCCTGAGTTAGCCTTCCAGTTTATTTATAGTTCAATGGCACCAAGTGAGGTCAACTTATGCGCCAGCTGATCGCGGGCACCATGATTTTTCATTAATAGTTAGTTGCTTAAAATTAAAATTTAAACTTGCTAAAAAGACGTGCAATGCACTGATGAATAAAATGTTTTTCTGTTGAGCAATGATGAGTGTTGTTACTGTTGTATCACAAGTTATAACCACCATTTAGCTACTATTACAACCAGAAACACAAATTTCTCGAGTCCCTAAATAATTATAGAGGCCAATTACCAGGCGATTATTAATACTCAAAGTCTCGCTTAAACATTTGATGCTGTGCCAACCACCAAAACTAAAAACTTGTGCACCAACCTCGACGTGATTGTGCGCCAGCAATTCAAAACTTACGCCGAAGATCTTCCACAAAACGTGCATGGAATGCACTCTGGATTACACGGAACAATTTTTAGCAAGCCCCCCGAGGGCTTATCATAGGAAATATCATAGGAATCCTCACCTCCCTCCCAGGGGGGAAATTTCCTATGATATTTCCCCCATGTTAAAGTCACCCCCGGCCCCTCTAAATTTGATGTACATAAGACAAATTACAAAGCTTGTAAAATGAGAAATATTTTTGGTTTTCTCGATGTTCTGTTTTATATTATTTCAGGCATAAAGGCTGCGATTGAAGCATCAAATAACACTCTTGGCACTCTGGTTGTGTTGGGAACACCAGCAGAAGAAGGCGGTGGTGGAAAAATATTTATGATTGAAGAAGGATCCTTTGATGATCTCGATTTCTGCATGATGGTTCATCCAACTGCTTTCGATTCAGCCACGCCATTGATTCTTGGCTGTAATGATGTACTAATCAAGTATCATGGTCATTCTGCTCACGCTGCAGCATTCCCCTGGGAAGGCGTGAACGCATTAGATGCTGCTGTTGCATGTTACTCATCTTTAAGCATGTTACGACAGCAGATGAAGCCGACATGGAGGGTACATGGTGTGTTTAAGGATGGTGGTGTTAAACCAAACATTATTCCTGAAACATCTGAGTTGAGGTATTACTTCAGAGCTCCAAACAATGACGACCTCAACGTTTTATTAGAAAAAGCCAAAGGATGCTGGGAAGGTGCTGCAAGTGCTACAGGTAAATAGCCCAGTTCCATTTTTGGTAATACACCCTATCGGTAAGTACGTCAATTTGGCTATAGAGCCTCATTTTCATGTACAGTATGTGACATTTGGGTTTAACTGTGTGATATTTAGGAAGGCCAATCTAAAGTCTGGTTTAGCCTATAAACATTTTGTGATCAATATTTTTATGTAGGATGCACTGTTGAAACAGAGCCTCGTGTGTTTGGTAAGAGTAAATCAAATTACTGTGCCATGAAGCATAACCAGGTATTAGCCAAGCTATACCAGAAACATGCCGAATCCTTGGGTGTGAAATTTCTACCAGAAGGAGAAGCAGAAAACACATTACTTGGTTCAACTGACATGGCAAATGTATCACAAGTGAAGCCTTCCATTCATCCTGTATTCACCATCAATTCCTCTGCGGTTATACACACTCGCGAGTTCAACGAGGCCGCAGGCAAACCTGAAGCTCAACCGAAGACCTTGATTGCTGGGAAGTCCATGGCAATGACATCAATTGATGTACTAGGGGACTCAAAGCTGTTGAATTCAGTAGTCACAGAATTTAAGCAGAAAACTTGAACACATTAAATTAATTAAAGAAATATTTTTCAATTTTATATGGATTAATTTTTATACATGATTAATTAATAGCAAAGTGAACACTCGGTTATCCTTACTAGAAACCTACATATTCAAGTCACAAAAAAGGTTGAAAGATACATTGTGTGAAATACGATTAATTTAGGAATGATAGAAATTTAGAATTTGTGTAAAAGCTGTCAAGTGGTAAAACTGCAGAAGGCTTTGGTGTGTGTTAACAATCAATTAAATTATTATTTTTAATGACAGGTATGATGCTTTGAATTATCCATTATAATTGCACTACAGTATATATGTAAATGTTCAGCTATTAAGCAGCACACTACAGTTATGTAGAAAAATCTGGTTTTATTAACAAAACTGTTAAATTAAACAACACTAAAGTTAACTACTGTATACCATTCTACTGCTAATTACATATGTTTTATTTGCCACAATTGTTCTAATTTAGATTCCCTTTAATTAAAATAATTCCAAGTCTACATATAAGTACTACCATTTAATTCCTAAAGCAGTGACATTCTTTTCAACAGCATGGTAGCTTGTATGAAGAACCTCCTTGCATTTCTCAGAATTTTGACCACCAAGCCATTCCTTGTAAAACCCTTGCACATGCTCATCTTCCTCTGGCCTGTAACACTTCAATGAACTGTAAAGTTTAGCAACCCTTTCAATCAACTCCTTGGACGACTCCTCGCCAGTGGGCCTGATTTGACCTCCCCCGTTAACACATCCAGACGGACACGCCATCACCTCGACAAAATGGTACGGACACTTGTTCCTCTTGAGTTTCTGCACTAGATTTTGGATATTTCGAAAACCATATGCAAGGGCAAACTTAAGAACTGTTTTTCCTTCATGTTCAAGCACAACTTCCTGAAAGTCTTTATTCCGTAAAGTCTTATATGTCAGATTTTCAACCTTCATCCCAAATATTTCTTGTGCAGCATAATGAAAAACATGCTCAAGGTAGCCCCCAGAGCCACTGCCACCGTGGTTTAGAATTTCATCATCATTACCCATCCCGAATAAATCGTCTAATTTATGCGGAGCTAAGCTTGGAAAGTCAACTGCCTTTTCCTCAAACATTTGTTCAACCTCAAGGGAGGTTATAACACAATCCACATCCCTTGTTCGGTAAAGGTCGTCATAAAAATCTTCCCGAGATGCTTCTAACTTCTTATCATAACAAGGCATGACCGTGACGTGGTACACCTTATCAGGTGATTTCTCTGTGGTGCTCTCAAGATACTGTTTCACTAGGCTACCCATAACCTGTTGTGGTGATTTGGTTGTGCTTATGTATGGCAGTATAAACTCGCCATGGGTTTTCTCGGCATAACATATCCACCCGGGGCACGCCGAGGTGAACAAGGGAGCGACTTTAGTCTGGGTGTGGTTATCTTGATATTTTTCAACAAACTCTTTCTGAATTTCAATTAAACTAAAATTCCGTGCCGAGGTTGTATCGAACACATAATGCACCCCTAAATCTTTAAAAAACCTTGTAAGCTTTAAAGCTGTTTCCTTTATACTCAAATTAAATTTTGCAGCTATGGATGCTCTAGATTGGGGAGAAATACTGACAACGATTAACTTTTGGTCAAGTTCTGAGAACTTAGAGTTGTCTTCGATGATTTTGTACAATTCATGTTGGCTTTGCTGCGTGATAAGCACACTTTCCGCTGAGGTAATGCAGCCACTGCATGCCAGGCAGTCATTCAGAGTTATTTTTGCTTTTTCTAATTTTGTTTTATTCCCGACGTTATTCAGCTGATAGTAGCTTCCATCGTCTTCAATCTGAATTTTAGCGACTCCTCCTTCGCTTTTTTCTATCTTCACGGGCTTAACGCATTCTTGCGAAGGAGTAATAAAATCGTCTAAATCTGTGAGTTGTAAAACTCCACTAAATTTCGCCATTTTGGTTTCTCAACTACCACTTCATACAAAGTACAATTCCTTTGTAAAATGGTTTCGTCCTCTGGGTTTCGTCAATGTGTGTATTAAACTTGTATATTAAATTTAATTCAATTTTTTTCAACAGAGTTTTACGAATTATGAATAAAAATTAATACAAATTGCACAAGTATGGAAAATCTTACTCTAGAATAAAGCAAATATGTAAAACGTTTTAATAAACACTTTAGTTTATTAGCATTCTTTATTTGCCTTCCATTTATTCAAAATTTCCTTTCTAAATTTTCTTCACGTGGCAGCCACGTACCAGGAAATTTCAATTAAACAATGAAATGTATTAACTTATTGTCTGTGCCTTGCATCAGATCATTGGTGAACCCCAAAATTACACCAAAAAGATCATTGACTAAAGCCGCACATATTATCATGGATATTAAAGAATTTGCTAAAATATCGGATAGCCGTATAGATGAGTTATCGCGAGATTTAAATGAACTTAGTCTGAAAATCTGGAATAAACCCGAGACTCAATACCAAGAAACATTCGCTCACAAATTGTTGACGGAAACTTTGAAGAAGCATGGTTTTGATGTCACACCACAGTTTACACTGCCAACTGCCTTTCGTGCGTCATATGAACTGAATGGTGATGGTAAAGGTCGTAAAGGGCTGACTGCTGGAATAATTTGCGAGTATGATGCATTGCCGGAAATTGGCCACGCTTGCGGGCATAACCTTATTGCCGAGGCTGGAATAGCTGCTGGTCTAGGTTTGTTGAACCCATCAGTTATCATCCAACTATTTGCCCTTCATGAGTAAAGTTGTGTGGCATATTAGACAGAGTAATAGTAACTGATTAATCAATCTTCGTATCTGATTAATTAGTATCTGATTAATTAGTGTCTGATTAATTAGTATCTGATTACAATCTTCAGTGTATTGCAAGCTAGCTGAATGCATGCATTGGGTGATAAGACTTTCCCCTTCATAAGACTTTCCCTTTCAGTGGCGGAAAACCACAACCCCCCCCCCCCACCTTTATGGAAAATTGATGAATTTTCGGAAATTCTGACCTAAAAGAGGGCTAAAAACAGCCTTGTCGAGTGCAAATAGGGGGGGGGGGGTTGTCAGAAAGTTTTGTCGGAAATTTTGAAGTCTTTGCACCCCCACACACTGGAAAAAGTGAATTTCCGCCACTGCATTTGGCAAATTAACCCATTGAAGCGAGTAGCAACACTCTTCCCTTGATGAGTTTGAGCATTAGACAGATTATAATTATCTGGCATTAAACAGAGTAAAAGAATAAAGTAGGACACAATGCCACTCAAAGGATTTAGGGACCGGTCATTATTTATGGTGGGGGGTGGCACCGAAGAGAAAAGGGTTGGGCAAACGAAATTTTGAGTGAGTAAAAGGTTGGGTAAATGAAAAATAAAACAACTCAAGGGTTGGGTAATAAAAGTTTAATGTCATTTCCAAAGCATGACTCACTCAAATATTGGAGACTAAAAAGCAATGTCAACAGTCATATGTCAATAGAATATGTAAATCAATCAGAGTCAATATCTTGATCATTTTCCGATTTGTTGGGATCGAGACAAATGGTGTCTCCAAAGAAAGTACATGTGCAGACAAGATGCAACCTTATTTCACAAGCCGTTATCAAACTCATGTCACAGAAGTGGTAAAGGACATGTGTGACAACTGAATGGTATTCGTTTGTAAAGTTTTTGGCCAGGGGTGGGTATTTTTTTTTAATAGATATTTGAGGTTGGGTAATCAAATTCTTGACTTTTTAATGGTTGGGTCAGCAAAATTTTTGCCACGAAAAACATTTCTCTTCAGTGCCACCCCCCACCATAAATAATGACCGGTCCCTTACTGTGATTTATTGGCCTATTGTACATATATTTAGCAATGGCTGTAAGGCTAAATGATATTTCATTTCTCTTATAATCTAGGTGTTCAAGCAGCATTAAAAGCTGCACCCACTTCTGATCTTGGTCGAGTCATTGTGTATGGCACCCCGGCTGAAGAAGGGGGTGGTGGCAAAGTCAAAATGATAAATAACGACTGTTTCAACGAGGTTGATTTCATCATGATGGTCCACCCAAATCCTTACGATGCTGCTTTTCCAACATACATTGCATGTGCAACAGCGACAGTCATTTTCAAGGGCCACTCTGCTCATGCCTCTGGTGGCCCATGGGAAGGTGTGAATGCACTCGATGCAGCTGTTATGGCTTACAATGGTATTAGCACGATGCGGCAACAGATGAAACCATCATGGAGAGCCCATGGGATAATTGCCGAGGGTGGAACAGCATTTAATGTCATTCCAGCAAGAACTAGACTTGTGTGTGGTGTTCGGGCACCAACAGTACCGGAGCTCAAGATTTTGAAAAAGAAAATACACTCTGTGTTTGAAGCTGCAGCCCTTGCTACAGGTGGATAAATATAGGGATAAATATAGTTCTAGGCTGCACACTAAAGGAGCAGTCTTATCATAATTATGTATGATATGCTAGCCTTGAAATAACCGGGTTATGCCATCTGGTATTAGACAAGAAAGATAAGAAAGTAGGGTACATTAAGTTGCAAATTGGCTAAATTAATTATTCAATTTATTTTTTTCTAGGATGTGAAGTGGAAATAAACTGGAGCAAACTGCCATATAAAAACCTGGTCACAAACTCAATTCTAGCTGATATATACCAAAAAAATGCAGCAGAGTTGGGAGTGCCTTACTTACCTCACCATGAGCAAGTAGCCAAGCATGGGGGATCCACTGATATGGGCAATGTCTCCCAAGTTAAACCTGCAATACACCCGAGATATTATGTGTGCGATGAGATCACACATTCACCTGAATTCCAAGTTGAAGCAGGCACAGAGAAAGCCCACCGTTATACGCTGATAGCCGCCAAGTCAATGGCGAGGACATGTTTACATGTCATGTGTAATCAAGAATTAATGAAGGACATTAATTCAGAGTTTACCAAAAGTGTGAAAGAGCAAGGGGGGGAATTGGATGATTAATTAACAAGACTAAATGAACAAATAAAAAATGAATGAATGAATAAGTAGATTAGTGAAACTAGTGTATTTAAATGAGGGTGTTTCAAAAACAATGCACGTGTTTGTATGGTTCTAATTAACTGCTTAAATTAATAAAATTACTTGTTTCTTTTAAGGCATACCATATTTTATCCAGTACTGCTTGCAATTTTTTAATGGTGTAGGAGCCTTGTAGTATTAATTGACACATATTATGGGATCTTGATAAAGCGCTATAATTTGATCAAATTCATGCTTTTAAATACGTAAAGGCGACTCTGGCTGACACAATTTTCCAATTTCACGTAAGAATGTACAGTACGTAAATGTAATTTATAACCGAAAATTGTTACAACTTGTTGAGAAGTTTGAAAACAGCTTGTTGCGACGATTGTAAGCAATGTAACTAAAAATAAACAAAGGAACCCAAAAGATACGGTTGGTAAGTCCAGACGACCAATTCCATAATGCCATTACTCATTAGGTTTTGACCAACCACACACACAAAGTAACCACTAGATATGAAAGTAGCTTTGTTTTCATAATCCAATGTAGCAACTACCACGATTCACTTTCAAATGAAATCTTACATGTAATAGGACCAGTAAGAAACATTGAAAATAATATACAACGTTGGAAAAGCAACAATACACATTTTATCAAGCCAGAATCTTGACACCACGCCAGACTGCTCACCTGAAGCCCGTTCAAACACAACATCGGTGTCGACCGGCTCTACACATCTTGTGCATTTGTTTTCTTCATTCTCATTTTGTTCACGTTTCCTTTCAGCTTTTTCTTTCTTTTTCCGTTTGAAAACCACAAAGTAATTCTTGAGACGTGTCTGAAACATCAAGAACTTAAGTTATTAAGTGGTATTTTTTCCCTAACGACTTAGTGTAACGCCGAAAACACTTGTTTTATTTAATTCTGAGAGGAAATGTCCGCTGTAACTGGGGGTATTTTAAATCCCTATATTTCGTATATTCATAATATTTTAAAGTCTTTTAATATACATAAAATTGATTGCCGTCATGATGGTTTATTCGGAAAATATTGGAAAATACATAATTTAATTCCATTGGAAATTATGTCTTATTGAGTAAAAAATTAGACGTCCTTTGTACTATAGATATACAATGATAGTTGATTTCCTGCTGTAATGACATTGGGCCAACGTGCCTTCATTGGACCCCTAGGAAGAGCAGTTTAGAGCTTTAGCCTTTTTGTTTAGTTTTTCGCACTTTATAATTTTCTGGGCCCGATTGTACCATGATATATTGTCCTTTGATTGGTGAAAATGCAGATTAAACTTTAGTATTTATAAATTGAAGTTTCTTTTTATTACTTGCGAGGTCCATAATCATAGTTTTACAGCTCTGAGAGAAATTTTGCAAAGGTGAAAAATCACTGACCAGTAGACAGCGCCTTCGTACAACCGGACATGGTTTCTTATATTCATGAGACATAGGTATAAAAAATATAACATACCAATGGGTCAGATGTAGTAGTCTTTCCAAAAGGCTCTTTCTTTATTGCCAAATGGTAGGCGAGCATAGTTTGCAACAATGCCATGAAGACGAAGCCAAACGAAACAATAATAAACAAATCCGAGGCCTTGGTATATGACAAATATGGAAGGGAATTGTTGCTATTTCCCAGCAGGAAAACAATGGAGAGAATCATTGTCACTTCAAGAGCTAGACGGTTTCCAATGTCTGTCGGGTCCATGAAGAACGACAACCACGATAATAGAACAAGGAAAGAAGAGGGAACGTAAATTTGAATAATGTAGTAACCAAAACGTCGTTGGAATGTCAACGTGATTGTAGGAGTAATACCTAGGAACGAAAAGGTGTGAGTTATTAACAATACAGGAGGAAACCTTAGCTAAACTATCTTTATTTATACTGGATAGCTCTCTTAGCTTAACTTAGTCGCCCTAGAGGTCCAGTACGTATATAAGGGATCCAGTGTTACTACAGGAGAAACCCAAGCTAAGCTATCTTTGTTTATACTGGATATCTACCAGTTCTCTCCTAGAGGTCCGGCAAGGAGCACTATTATTGGTCCAGCGTTACTACAGGAAGAAAACGGATACACTTGAAGAAACCCGTGATGTTTATAGTTGAGCCAACCTGGAAGCACTCTATGTATACTCGTATGTGACGGAGGAAAATAATTATCAGACAACTGTATATTGCAGAAAAAGAGTAGCTCTTTTGAGGTTGATTGGGCTCGCAGTTTGAAGTTTGCAGTGTGTACAGTATGTATAAATTTGTATATTTAGGGCCCATTTAGTGGATTTATACTATCTTTAGTTGTATTTAAAGTAATTACGGGCAACACCTTGCATGGGACGTCTTGTCCCGTTTGTGTTCTTCCATCTACTAGGGCCTGCTCGCAGGCTATTTATCCACTAATTGTGTTGTCTTGTCTTTTTGTCAGTTTGGTTTTCGTAACATATGTCTTGTACCATATTTATTGTTTAGTCATATAGTAGAATATTCAATAAATGTTTATATTGAATAAAAACCCCAAAAAACGACACTCAGTGTCCGAGTGGCATAGTGAAAGGTTCACATCGACCAATGTGCCAGAAACACATGTTATATGATACCTTTGTCCTTTGATGTTCCAACGAAGTAAAATTGTGGAAGATGAACTGGTTTGACCACTGTCTTTCTCTCTGCCAGTGAAAACTGCAGCAAGGACTTCGCATAAGCATCTGAAACAAAAATTCATTTTCCTGCGCTGAATTTCAAATTTGGTTTCAACTAATCAAAAACCAAGAAAATATTAATGACGTATTATTCAAACAGAAGTCCTCTGTATCGTGTATACTCTTCATAATGCATACTACGCGTACACTTACATGAAGAAAATTTGAGATAACAGGTTTGTTCATCCATTGGAAATTTATGTAGAATCATGGGACAATCAATCTTCACCAGAGACCTTCAAAGAAAAAAACAACATAAAACTCAATCCTGATCAAAGAGGATCATAAAGAGTGCTCCGAAACCCAATTTGTCCAACCAATATTTAAACCCATTTTCCACTAGGCGAACAGTAAAAAAGTAGGAACTAATAATGATCCAATTTTCGCTGTCCAATCACATTGCCAAGATTTGTTTTTCGCTCCGCGCGAACAAATTCGCCTAGTTGAAAATGGACTTTAGTCATCCGACCCACTGATTTGCAAAATAATTTGCAAAATCCATTCCCAGCAGCAAAATTGTTGGTGCAGATCCCATTCCTATTGGTACACAAGTCCCATTTGTCCCAGCTCTCATTGTACCCTCTCGACCTCAATCTTCATGTTTAAATTTTACCTCCTATTCTATCTTGTATTTAATGAAAATTCATCATTTCATACCTCGATAAAAAATTATGAATCCGTTTCAAAAATAAAATTAGTAAGTATCCTTACAGTTGACTGTAGTAAATTCTTCCATTTGAATTAATGTTCATGTTGACTCCGCCAAATTCACGAAAATGCTTCATATCTTTCAGGTTCTTCATTCTAATATCAGGAATCCAGATTTTGTCCAAGAAATGTTCGCGAACTTTAATTCGGTGAAATTCCGTTGAATTCCATGACAATCTATGGTCGAACCATATCTGTCTGATATACAACAGCATTTCTAGTTCCTGAAAACATCAGAAAAAGTTGGATCGATTTTCTAAATCATCATCTGGACTCGCAGGATTTATACTCTAGTTTCCTCCTGAAGAAAAACTGGACCAATAAGGAACTTGTCCTATACTGGACCTGTCTGGAGAATAGTTAAGAACTGATACAGAACTTCTCACGTATCACTAGAGTAGGTTGCGGAAAAGACGAAGAAATGTATTATAAATTAATGGATCGTAGTTACCATATTACTGTCATCCAAGTTGAATACATCAGAAATGACAACTTGTAGTTCAACCTTCAACGGGTGTTCTATATAATGAAACAATCAGTGGATAAAAAAATCATTGAAACGGTGAATTTATTCAATGAATCCTAAGAGTGAATAAATGAATCCTGAGAATGAATCATTGAATCCTAAGAGTGAATCAATGAATCCTAAGAGTGAATAAATGAATCCTAATAGTGAATAAATAAATCCTAAGAATGAATCATTGAATCCTAAGAATGAATCATTGAATCCTACGAGTGAATCAATGAATCCTACGGGTGAATCAATGAATCCTAAGAATTAATAAATAAATCCTAAGAATGAATAATTGAATCCTAAGAGTGAATCCTAAGATTGAATCATTGAATCCTAAGAATGAATAAATAAATCCTAAGAATGAATCATTGAATCCTAAGAATGAATCATTGAATCCTACGAGTGAATCATTGAATCCTAAGAATGAATCATTGAATCCTAAGAATGAATCATTAATCCTACGAGTTCTAAGTATGAATCATTGGATCTTAAGAATGGATCAAAAAATCCTAGGATTGAATAATCGAATCCTAAAGCGTCTACCTTTTCTTTAGCTCAACAAGGCTAACCTGGTATGGTAGGTATAAAACGTTTATCATAACCAGTCAGAATATCATCCAGAATTTTGGATTGCTTGTCTATATATTCCTGAATATCTGACCTATAAAAGGGAAAGAAAAAATATTAAAAACCATTAATATTGGAGCAATCAATAATGAATGACCCTTACTAGAAAGAGCATGATATAATTATTCAGTATAAATAAAGTTAGTTTAGTTCAGCTGTGAATATAAACTTCTTTCGTGTTATCCGATTATTCTTTTTTCGCTGCATGGCGCATATGATTGACCCTTACTAGAAAGAACTGATATAATTATTCAGTATAAATAAAGTTAGTTTAGTTCAGCTGTGAATATAAACTTCTTTCGTGTTATCCGATTATTCTTTTTTCGCTGCATGGCGCATATGATTGACCCTTACTAGAAAGAACTGATATAATTATTCAGTATAAATAAAGTTAGTTTAGTTCAGCTGTGAATATAAACTTCTTTCGTGTTATCCGATTATTCTTTTTTCGCTGCATGGCGCATATGATTGACCCTTACTAGAAAGAACTGATATAATTATTCAGTATAAATAAAGTTAGTTTAGTTCAGCTGTGAATATAAACTTCTTTCGTGTTATCCGATTATTCTTTTTTCGCTGCATGGCGCATATGATTGACCCTTACTAGAAAGAACTGATATAATTATTCAGTATAAATAAAGTTAGTTTAGTTCAGCTGTGAATATAAACTTCTTTCGTGTTATCCGATTATTCTTTTTTCGCTGCATGGCGCATATGATTGA